TAAATATAAGTGATGTAATAAAAGGTGATTTAGATGAACACACTTGCAATTTACAATCTAGCTATCAATAAGTTGCTCTGGACAGTTAAAAAGGGTTTTGGGAGCTTAGAAATGTTTTGAAATATTTATGAATAAATATTGTATGTGTTTTCATTAAAGTCAATTTACTGAGATCTTCAATTCTTTATTCATTACAATCCTTTTTTTTTTAAATTTGCACTCAATTTATATAAATTGTAAAGTACAATGTCAAAACCAGGTTTTTGTTAACCCTTTTGAGTATAGATCTGTGTACACAGAAGAAAATGTACCCCAGCTCTGCAATTCAAAGAACTCAAGCATAGTTTGTTGAAGTAGATGTAAATCCTACCACACCAGATCTCATATATGATTTAACAGTTGGTGATACTGATATAGGTTCTTGTTGTGGCACTTTGTGTTATGAGATAACAATGCTCTCCCATAATTTTGATTCAGCCGATGTTAGCAAGCACAGGCATTTACCTGATCTTAGAAAAAGACTTTCAAACCTATAGGTACAGGAGAACTATTGAGGCTCAGATCCAAGCTTGCCAGGGTAGTAGATAGTAGAGAGCATGTGGTAAAGAATTCCATAGCTCTGAATGCCCAAGTTAGCAATCTGATGTTTCTTCTAAATGCATAAAGGGTGAACACAGTCATGACTGACTGTTTTTTACATAATTTTTTAGGCTCTCATCTGTCCCTGTGACCTGGGCTCAGTAGCATCAGCTCTGTTGTTTCCTTACTTTAAATGATCATAATAAGGTGGAACATAACATTATGTAATTGTAAGTTTGTACCCTGTTATAAATTATGTTTACATTTTTCAACAATGCCATATGCTAAGGCTGTAGAAATGTGCTCCTATAAACAATATATGATAGATGATTTGCATATTTATTTTGTTTTTCTTATCCTAGTACTTTTTCCAATGTCAAACATTTTTACATATTTTGTCGCAATTTGGCTTAATGTAGAACACGTTAAGTTGTAATTTACAAAGAGTGTCATATACACTATTTAGAATTCTGTAACTCCTCAGCATGATAAATGCCAGTGTATGCAACAGATTCATATATTTGTGACAAACAAGTACATGAATCTGTCACATAGCAGGTGGCTGCAGCGGGGCCTGAGTGTCCATACCATTGATACTGTTGTCTATGAAGCTGCCAGTGTACTAGCAACTAATGACATATCCATGACCCATACAGCTGCTGCCCAGGAAATTTCCCTCTAACAGGTGAAGTAAACAAAGGGGCAGGGATGCTGGCTGGCATATTTGATCCAATATGCTAATTACCATATTGGGGTGATAACATCCACCCTTTGTTTAAATTCACCTATTGGTCAGAGTATCTCCCAGCTGGCAGTTGAATGGGGCTGCCATTGTCCTAGCCACCAAGTATCTCAGCACTCGGAAAGCTAATATGCAGGAGAAGAAGCAGAGGATCAGAGGCCATATCATGGGGGGAATCAGAGGAGAGAGATCCAACATACAGTGGGGAGAGAAGACTGAGAGACAGGGCACAGTGTGAGATGACGCAACACTGGCCTGACTCTACGGCATCTTATGGTTGGTCGTAATCATCACCAGTTTACTTATTTTGATACTGGTGGTAATTCTTTTTGAATTTGTTGCAATAATAGCAACACATTCTACAGGTGCTACAAAAAAACTACTTGAATATGTCACACATGTCAGTAAACTTTCAAATATTATTCTATGAATTAGGAGCAGAGAAGTTTAAAGGGGCCATACCACCAGAAAAATGTTATAAATGCTTTATTGAATTTCCCCTAATGTGTTTTATGTATAATACCGTTTACAACAGTGTATGGATTTGCAGAGTCCTTGATGTAGAAAAGCTCTTGCCTTGAGCAAGCAAGTAGAAGGGCTCAAACAGATGGAGCCTTGGATCTATAAACCATTGCAGAAGGTTGTTTACCCACCCAGGAGGCACTGCATACAGCCATCTTATTAGGATCAATGACACACTGACAGCTGAATATAGATCTTCGTTTGTCCTAATGCACATCCCTGTGTGCACAGCATGCGGACAGATGCATGACTCTACATGCAGTCTGTCTGAGTTCAGAGCCATGCATTGGTTCCAGACCAGAGTTACATAAATGGATGCGTGTGAAGATCAGTGAAGATACTGTATGTGCAACCTTCAATCTGTTGTTGCTATAAATAATCTGGATGCAATTTGCTGCTGGTTATATGGACAACCTGTGCCTATCGGCTGGATAAACACAGCCCTCTGCACAGGAGTTAAGATCAATGGTGAGCTCTAATTGTCCCCAGATTTTTTAAAAGAAAAATGGAGTAGGTCTGCTGAGTGTTTTCCATCCATAAAAATCTAAATGTTAGCTTAACAGAAGTTAAAAAGTTCTAAACATTCAAAGCAATTCTGTAAACATTTTTGAATAAGTAAACCTTATTCAAACCTAATTCAATAAGTAGCATAAGGAGCCAATCAGTTATGTAGCATAGTTAGTGTGCTATCAAGGGCTATGCTGAAAGAAGGAGAGTGCAGAGTAACATATACATTAGCTCATTGGTCATCTGCTTCTCTGTTCACAGTCCAGTCACAAGCTGGGAGAGGTACACCAACTGTAGGTGTTGCTTCAGCAAGTCCTCCAGAAGGATGTGCTATGTGGCAGAGCAATGTAATTATCAAGAGTAGATGGACAGAAATACACATCTTTTGTCAGGTAAAACATCTCCAGCTCCCATTTACAGTATGTATTTGATTTGTAAATTTAACTGTTTGACTAGAGTTCAGCTTTAAGGTCCAATATTATGATACTGAAATCTTCTTCTTAGGATACTAGCTGTATGTCTGTCATGCTGGCCCCCAGGCTTCAATACTTAAAAATCAGTAACCCAGAACAAGTAGACAGATAAGGACTTATCTTAGCCATCAGTTCAATTATTGTGTTTTGGACTGGAAAATATCTAGCAGGATTGATATTTTGTAAAAATCTATATTTATGAATGTGATTTTTATTGTACAGGTAGGTATGAGAGGATCCAGTGTCACACATTCCTATTGTAATAAATGTATTTTCATTACATGATACAACAGGAGTTCTAGAGTAATTATACAGCACTTATGTATTAAGAGCACCAGGTGTATCCGGTTAAATTATATGGATTGACTTCGGGATATATTGAGAAAAATATTTTCAACACATTTGTAGTATGTGCAGCAACAACTTAGAGAAAGCAGATGAATATAAATCTGTTCATGGATGTAGGGTATGTAATTGGAGCGTAGCAAGCTGGAATAGAAAAACATAGCCTGTTTTCTTTTATAAAGGTGCAATATAAACAAGATGTTTCTATATTCACCCAAATGACACGGAAATGCATATTAGAGTAATTCAATGAAAAACGCAACATGCAGAATCAATAGGAAAATGTATAAAAATTGGATTGGACATAAATGAATTCTTGCCAGCTGTGCCATGATTATACATAGCTTCTTTTGTTTGTATGCATCAGATTTTCAAATAATAAAACCCAGCTGTTTACAAAAAACAAAACATTAGCATATGGAAACTTTATAGCAGCTTCCCTGTGATTGATAAAGTCTCATAATTTCAATTATCCTTATGCTTTGTTTTATATATTTTATTAACATATGTGAGTAAAGTTTAAACTTTTTACTGTATCTTTGTTTTTTTTTTGTTTTGCTTTGTTTTTTTTACTTTTGCTGTTATAGCTTAAATAAGCTAATAGATAAAAATGTCTTGAACCAAATAAGAGAATATGAAACTGTTTTAGTATATTCTACTATTGCACATTATTTAAACCATTCTTAACTTTTATTCACCTTTGTCTACAATGGATGATGAAGATTTTATGCTGAATTGGTAGACAATATTTACTTTTTTGTTAAAGATTGTGTCTGTTTATATTTGATTTTGATTTTTTTGTGTTTTTTTAATGAATTACTAACAAGAGGTAATATATACCCCTACTTATTTACATAGAGGGGAAGGCTGGATATCTGGGGATCTCCTTATTTTAGAAGAGGCTGCCAGATTCTGTCCCCGTCACAGCTTCCCACACCTTTTAGTCCAGGATGTAGGCATAAGGCCCTTGTAACCATTAATATGGGGGCAAGGTGCATTGCCAGGAAGACCATCCCACCCTTGATGTCATGTGGTCTGGTGTGGTAAAAAGGCTGCCCCCTATTTCCTATGTTTTAGGTTTACGTGCCTAGATAGAAGTCTGGAAAGGATTCTGGGGGGCAGTTTATTTTTTATTTTTTGCCTGGGGTCTCTCCTATATCCATACTAGATCAAAAAATGTGGAGGCCTAGTGAGCACACACATAAGCAGCTAAATGCACTGATAAAAGGAACCAAAAAACCTTTCAATAGCAAGCAAAACAAAGAAATAAAGACTTCCAGCTGGTCTTGGATTCCTATATGCGCATATTGATTGCACTTCTGGTTAGTAGACAATCTTACCATTCTTTCACTGGACACGGCATTGGATTTCATAACAGAACTGTCACATCAGCACTCCTTATATTTATTAAGGAGCTTGTCTACCTAAGACTGCATTCATTCATTTTTTATTACTTTAGCGGTGCACTTTATATCCATACTAGAGTTTTATCCTCTGGATAAGTGTTGGGAAAAGATTTTGAATAGGAACCCATGCCTTTATTTTATCTTAAAGGTGCAGAACACATAAAAAAAAATATGACACAGGTTCCCTCAAAATTCATACCAGACATTGGCGGACTGACAACTCATGGGGCCCCCAGGCAATAAGAGATCATGGGGCCCCTGTGTCCTCACTCACACTCAAACCACACCCAAAAAAGCATATGAAAGGTACAAGGGGCATCTCATGGGGCCCCCTACTGACCCTGGGCCCTTGGGCAGTGCTCGAGTGCCGAATGGTCAGTCCGCCCCTGATACCAGACCTTATTCAAGGCATGCAGCCTTGCTGACCAGGAATGGAAGGAAGCAAGCATGAATCAGGCCACATGTCTTTAACATTGTGAGGGTACCTTTCCAGAATGGTCAGGCCTGGCAAGGCACCTTGACCCTTTGTTGATGGGAAAAAAGGTCTCATTCCCACAACCCTGCCCTGGTGGATGTGAACATTTTTGTAAATCCAATGTCAATGATGTCATCTAGTGATATAGATCCAGTGTCAATCATAGCGAACAATGCCCCGACCACATGACAAGCCACATTACAATAATTCTCCACCGCTGATACTTTTGTTGCAAGTTACAGTTCCCCAATGCTGATGAAATGTAATTATAGTGCAGGGTAACCTGTGTGACATCATTTTCCACAAAAAGTCATGGTCATATTTGGTAAAAACATTCCCCAAGTTCCCCAGCAGTATTGGTACCTCCCAACAGTTCTGTACTACTGTCACTTTTGACAGGAGTATTGGTAGGAAAGGATTGCTGTGGCACAGACTCATCGTGCTGATAATGGGGTCTCCCAGATACCAAGGCCGTATCCAGTAGACAAGGGTCTGGTATAGATATAGAGAAGGACACAAGATTTTAATTTACAAACAGAAGCAGGCCAGCTGGGAACTGCTATTTAAGGTGAAGATCAGCTGACTTCTATCATCCAATCATGTGCAAGTGAAAATAATATGCTATGCAAAAAATATTGTGCTTTTTTTTCTTGCAGGTGATTGTGTATTCCTTGCAAAATTAATGTTCATCGTATTCACTAAGCTAAGTGAAAATTATCTTGTAAAGTGAAAATTCATCTTACAAAGTGAACATGATCTAATTATTTAATAAATATTATCAATTAATGGTAGAACTGCTGAAATGATATGGGGTGGATTTAATAAAGGCAAATAGACAGTGTACTTTGCAAATGCAGTTTTGCTCATTTTCCCCAGATTTTAGTAAGTGTGGTAAAGCTCTGCAGATTTCCATCATGGAATCATGTGCAAGAAAAATGCAGGGATTTTTTTTATTATTTTCATTGCACCAGATCGGGTATTCATTGCAAAGCGCAGCTTTTCGCATTTACTAAGCTCTGGGGAAAATGAGTGCAACTGCATTCACAAAGTGCACAGCCTATTTGCCTTTAATACATCTACTCCTATGGGTCATACTGCATGCCATCGTAGCAGTAAAACAAATATAATTATCTGAAAGATGAAAAGCATCTCAGCATCAGCATTTCATATTAACTATTTGGCTTCACAGGTTATAGTAGCCTGAAAATTGTTTCACGCTCTTCAGTAAATAGGCTTAAAGTAATTTTTTTATACTACAGAACTGCTCCATATTAATTGCTCATGTAACAAATGTCTTCTTATGAATATTTTTAATACTTGTGTGTTTCACAATGATGGTACTCTTAATATTATGACAGATTGACAAAGAGTTAAAGCTGATTGCTTTGAAGAAGCAGATGGACTAGTGCAAAGGGTTTTAGAATAAATTCTCTTTCCATGGCACAAAGCAGATGGGGTATAATATACAGATTTAGATGCTGTGATGTTTGAACTTCAGCAAAGCAAATCCTGGATGGAAATAGATACCGGTGAATAACTATTCCTACTAATATAACCTCAGCACTCCTTCATTGTTAATGTATTTGATTATTTGATCTCATCTTAAAATACCCTTACAGTATTCACAGTTGAGTGTGCTGGGAACCTTAAAAGATTATGGGGTTAACAACCCCTATATGTACATGAAAATGATGACCCTTCTGTATACAATGTATGTTAAATTTAATATTCCAATTTTTAGGATGAGTATTTGTATTACTTGGTGATATGCAAAAGGATACATTTGTATGTATTGCATACACTGAACACCTTGCTTCCTTATTCTGTAGACAAATATTGGAAGTATTTATTTCTGTTAAAAGAAGTAATAAATTAGAGTGTAATTTCTTCTTCTTCTTAATAGTATTTTCCACTCCAATGGCGTAAGAAAGTTTTTCAGTAATTGTAGCAAACTAGTTAAAGTTTAAAAAGTACAGCTGAGGACAGAAATATAAAAGCTGCCATCTTGTACTTATTCTTACTTATGTTTTAAGGGGAATTTTTAAACTGGCTTTATTGCCTAGTGAGTGAATGACTTGAAAAAGCAGCCAGTGACATCCTCGAAGTTTAAAAATTCCCTCCTGTGTGTTTGTTGCAGGTCAGAAACTTAGCCCTGGTTCACATTGCTGCAACTTCAGGTGTAACATGTAATTTATAAATCGAACCTGAAGTCGCAACTAATATATTAGTATAATGTATAAATACATCAGTGGTTCCTATAGTGAACTCAGTGTAGAGCTATTTACCCTGAGGTCATCAGAGAGGACAAGGGGGTGCTCTTTACGTCTGGAGGAAAAGAAATTTCATCTCCAAACACGGGAAGGTTTCTTCACAGTGAGAGCTGTGAAAATGTGAAATAGACTCCCTCAACAGTTGGTTCTGGCCAGCTCAGTGGATTGCTTTAAAAAAGGCCTGGGTTCTTTCTTAGATACACAGAATATAACTGGATACTAACATTTATTGCCTCTCGGGGGATCAGGAAGGAATTTTTTCCCTGCAGGATCAAATTGGATCATTCTTTGCTGGGTTTTTTTGCCTTCCTCTAGATCAACTGTGGGTATAGGATTATAACTTTTTGGTTGAACAGGATGGACTTTTGTGTTTTTTTTAGCCAGACTGACTATGATACTATGTATTTCTTTGCCACTGTCTTAATATGTGCGATTTCAAGTAGGACAATTTGAAAAATATTTCCTGCATTACTTTTTCAGCACTTCAGTGCAATTTAACTCTGATAGACTATAAGGTAAATGGCACTGAAATCACATCTGTGTCTATGTCAGTGCTACTTTGAAGTTGTGCTTTAAATGAGATCAAATCACACCACTTTGAAATTGCATTTGGTGTGAACCAGGGCTTAGTAGCTAGAGAAAAAGATGGTAACTGATGCTTTCACCTTTAAAAAGCTTAGCATTGATGGTTCTCTGATATTTCTTTCCCCACAAGTTCACTTTAATTTCAGCAATGCATTACACTATTGTCATCTATAAGGCATTCCACCTGTCTATGCTACATAAAAATATACAGTACATATATACTGTAGTTAGCATTGTTGCCATCAGTCCTTCCATCTTTTTTCTTGGTCCTGCTGACTATAGACAACAGAGAGTGCACCTTGTGAAACAATTAACAGTAGGACAAGTATACTTATTCAGACACAGAACAGCAGCATAAACACTTTTAGCTAAATTGCTATTTTGCATAAAAGGAAGCTGTAATCTATATTGCATGAATAAAAAGTTAGGCGTTTCCTTCTTGAAACAACTACATTTATGTAAAAGGCAGAATGGAGGTTGAACTTCTATGATTCATGTAATGTTTTTCATTAATTACAACGTAGATTTCCTGCATATTTTGGCATTTTTTTTTACAATCCAAATGTGTTAAGTGCATTGAGCTGTTATATTGAACTATATGTCAATCTACATTTATGTCAAGTGTTTGACATATTAGATTTAGGTCTTTAGAATTAGTATAAACTAATCTTACATAGCTGTGCCTAATTGTTTAGTTGCAATCATTTTAATAACTAAATAAAACTCTTTCTACATTTTTGAACCAGTACACTAGTCTTATATTTGTACCCTCAATAGGAAATAAGATAAATATAGTTAGTATGTCTAAATGACCTTTTGATTAATACTGTGGGGTTTATTTACTAAAGCTGGTTCACTCAGAATCTCGTGCACTTCTGCATAGAAACCAATCAGCTTACAGGTTTTATTGCAAAAGCTTAATTGAAGAGGATGAGGTTAGAAGCTGATTGGCTACCATGCATAGGTGCACAAGATTCTTGTCACGTACTTGGATAGTGAGCCTGTTGTGAAGAGGCAGGCCTCCCGTACAGCTCCGGCTTAAGGGCTACTTATAGTGGGACAGCAGCCACAAGAGCACAGCGAGGTATGAGTGCCTGTGATCAGTCCAGTAGTTGGTGTTCCAGCAGTAGCCGTCAGGCAGACAAAGCAGCAGGGTAGACTGATGGCAGAGAGCAGGATTCGAGTGCAGCTATGTTGGATGGATGGATCACTGGGGAGCAAGGTGAGGGATGAGAGGTCAGAAGAGCTGGGTTGGTAGCAGTCGGGCAGATCAGGCATAGACCGCAGGAGGTAGTGTAGTCGGGTCACAGGCCAGGTCAGCAGCAGAGGATCAATTGGACAAGAGCAGGAGACAGAAGAGTAATCCAAGACAAGCCAGAGGTCATGGCAGGTAGCAGACATGAGGAGGTCAGGAACAAGCTGGTTCAGTATCAGGAGTCAAGTTCAAGGATTAGGATACACATGCAAGGGCTAAAGACCAAATGGCAAGGAGACATGAACTGCAGCCAGTTTAAATAGTCCTTTTGGCCCCAGCATTAGTGACAGGTGTGCGTCTGGATGCACGAGTGCTCATGCGTGTGCAGGTGTGCCTGCCTATGCCCAAGTACATGCACATCTGTCTGGCCCGTCATTGTTCTGCGCATGTGCATATTTGTGTGCCTCGAGTCTTCACCTGTACTATGGGCAAGCCTTTCCTGACAATTCTCAGTTAACAACCTGTAGTAAATAAACTCCTGTGTCTCAACTTTACATTTCCAACAGTTTAAGTATCATCCATAGGTAATGAATATGGTTCTAAAGACTAAAGGTTTTTTTTTTACCTTCAAGCATTCTATGTATACAGGTAAAAAAATCTTCTGTGTGTATCTCCCCTCCCAGCTCCCTAATACTTACTTGAGCCCGTTCTCAATCCAGCAATGTGTATGAGAGCAGTGGCTCTCCCGGATCTCTCCCTCCTCATTGACTCAGAAACAGCAGGGGGAGCCATTGGCCCCTGCTGCTGTCAATCACAGCTAATGAGAAGGGAGTCGGCGGCGGGGCTGAGCCTCTCTCTGTGTGTCTATAGACACACATAGTGGGGCACAGGAGCGAGCTTGCATGAGTACCTCCATAGCAAGTGGCTTGTTATGGAGACACTCAGCAGAGGAAAGGAGCCAGGAGTGCTGGCAAGA